TAACTGCACTGCTAACCTGAGCTCTTTCTTCATATGTGGCATCTAAGCTACAGAAGGAGGAGCTAGACAAATTCTACCATTTGTTAGCTCTATGCAATGTCATTAACATCTATGGGATTGCAAAGATGTTATCAAGTGCTGAATTTGTCCTTTTAATTCTAAAATAGAAAACCAGCCCATATGGACACATACCTTAAGAAAAGCCGCACTGCTAACCTGAGCTCTTTCTTCATATGTGGCATCTAAGCTACAGAAGGAGGAGCTAGACAAATTCTACCATTTGTTAGCTCTATGCAATGTCATTAACATCTATGGGATTGCAAAGATGTTATCAAGTGCTGAATTTGTCCTTTTAATTCTAAAATAGAAAACCAGCCCATATGGACACATACCTTAAGAAAAGCCACTTCCTTTTGTTGAAAAACAGTGACACCCACTGGCAGGAACAGTTAAATACCTCGTTGCTCCAGTTAGGTTCTACTTGACAATCGTGTTAACATATCTTTCTTGAAGAAAATATGTTATAGAAACTGTCATTTAAAGCAACTCCTTACCTGCTACTTCATCACTACTTTCTGAGTTTTCAGCATTTGTGGGACTCCCAGTTCTTTGAATATCTGGGACATAGCCTTCAGGAGGGAGGCTTACTGTGTATAACCTTCTTGGAAGCAGGATCTCATTTTCTCTACCTGTAAGAGAGAAAAATGTTTGTGTTTTGAATACAACAGAGATTGCTCATACCAGTTTTTCACCACCATCTAGATACATTGATAAATAGGATTTCCAGAACACAGATCAAAGAGATAGACAGCAGCTCAAACAAGGAAAATTATCGCATTATTTTGTAAACTGCTGGGATAAACTATGGAGGCTGAATTCTGTGGTTGCTACAGAACAATCAGGGAACACCCAGAATTGTCCCTATTTTCAGATGATTTCCTCTCTAAGCTTTGGAAGAAGTGTCCTCCACAATGGGCTTGCTCTCGCTCTCTCTCTCTCTATATATATGCTGTTTTCCTGACGGGCAGCAGAATGAAGACATCATGTCATCAGCTGCCGTCCACCTCAGCTGCTTACTGTGGCCAGTCTTGGCACTGTCCTCTCTGGGCATGGGCTGCTCCAGCTCCACATCCCGGGGGGTTGCGCCCCTGGGGGGAAAAGAGAGGGTTGCTGGGGCTGGGTCCCCTCTGCCATCTAAGCCTGATTTCCACTCACCCCGGCCACACCAGGTGTCCTCCGCCATCTAAGGCCAGGTGTCCTCTGCCATCTTTCCCTGAGCCGCCTCATGACCATCCGCCATTCAAGCCCGACCCCCGCAGCCTCCTCACCCCTTCTGCCTACAGCCCACACCCTTAGCCACTCCTGACCCCTCACCTTTGGCCAGACACCTATCCCCAGCCTGCTCATGCACCCTCCTCTTCTCTTGCATCCATCATCCCTGTCCAGTCACCTACCCTCAGCCCACTCCTGCCCCTTCTTTCAGACAGACACCCTGCCCCCAGGCCGCTCCTGCTTCCGCCTCCCTGGTCAGACACACTCACCAAGCCTCCTCTCTCTGAGGTAGGTAGCAAGCAGGGGGCACAGCCCCCTAATATTTTGTAAAAACTGTTTTATTTCCTTCCCCTCTGAACAAAATGAACTTTTTTCTGTTTTCTTTTAAATGGATGGGGAATAATAAATTATTCCACCTGGGAGAATAAAAAAAACTTCCACCTGGTGAGGTCTGTGAACAGTGTCTTCACAATGAGTCTGGATATGGCTCAGCTCTCTGCAGAGTTGTATGGGAAGGCAGTGCTCAGTGAGTCACCATTCATCCTTTACATATCTTTTATAGGAAAGCTTCTTTGTGGTAGTGTCAGCAGTACCTTCTAAAACAGCCAGAACAGGCTGGCTAACTTTGTTTAGCAGCTCAAAAGAGCAGATGAGATCTGAGCAAGTGAGAGTCAGGAGATTTAATAAGAGTCAGGAGATTTAATAACTTTAAGCTATTGAAAAATAACTTCACAGGTGTGGGTCAGTAACCATACACCATTCCTGAGCTTCAACTGGAGGAAACCATTACCTTTCAATACACCGCTTTGGCTCCTGCATTTGTCCAAGTGCTCAGTTCAGAGTGACTACGGGTGTAATTGCACTGAGGGCAGACAATCCTTCCCTGAGGACTTGGAGGCTTGGAAAATCTGTACTTTGTACTATTATTTTGAATGGTACGTGTTCTCTCTACAGATAGCTATCTCTGCAAACTGTGAGGGGCAGATCCAGGGCTCTACTTCCTTGTCCTTTTCGGGTGATTTGTGCCCTTGGAGGTAAGAGAAAGACCAGTCTGTATGATTCTGAGATGTAGACACCTCCAATGTGGTTGTCAGATGCAAGGGATTTGATCTCTAATCCCAATACTAAACTGCAGCAGACAGCGCTGTCACTATTGCTATGCAATGATGGTATTTTAGCTATCTGAATAACTAGAAAAGAAACATATTGCTGAGGATGCACTCTTCCAGGATCAAATTGCTTTCATTAGGATATCAACCCGGTCAGCTGTTAGCTAGTTTCAAAGGCAAGTACACAGTCTGTTGAACCTCACAGTTAGTATTTTGTACGAGACATAACCCTTTAAAACAAAGAAACTTCAACATGATTTGTGATGCTATATCCCAGCAATAAGGACATTTCAGAGAGTTCAGGGTTCCAGAAAAGCTGAATCACAGTTCCATGCATCAGCAGGATGTACCCATTTATTTCTGACAGAACGGTGAAAAATAATTTGCTTTTTTGGAGCAAGCCAGAAAAATTGACACACTGATTAAAATCTTTTCATTCTAAAAGCTAACAAAGGAAAACAAAGAAACAATGATATAAAAGATAAACTAATTTATTGTACACTCTAAAAAAAAAAAAAAACCACCACCAAAATTAATTTAAAACTATTCTTCAATGAATTCATTTCATTAAGCTGATGCCAAAACCTTGAACTGTTAGTACTTGGGGCTGATTTTTCTCCACCAGTGTTGATTAACAATGAAGTGTTAATCAGTGTTAAGATTAAAAGACAAAGACATCTGAATGTTCTTAAGTGTGTTACACTCTATTGAATAATATCAACGTTTACAAATTTTTCATGGTAATATTCTTGAATATGTTGGATTTGACTCCAATAAAAAGTCTTACACAAAACATTAAACACAATTTGCAAAGTCATTTTCAATTTAAATCCTTTGACCCTAGAGTGCCACTATGCAGTGAGAAGATTTCAGCACTTATAGTTGCTGACATATGCCAGAAGAAAGATTAACATGTCTAGCGGTTGAAGAAATTCCATAGAGTTAATTCTGATGATACCTACTGCCTAGGGATGTTAAAATTAGATTAATCAACCAATCAGAAATTCCATCGACTATTCGATTAGTAAGTAAGGGCGCTTCTGCTTTTAAATGTAGCAAGAGCCCAACTGGCTATTGCTACATTTCAAAGGTAGAAGTTCCGCCTTTGTAATGTACAAGAGCCCCACCAGCAGGGCTGGCCCCAGGCTCCATGCAGCGCTTCCACTTTGAAATGTACAAGAGCCCCAGTGGGGACTCTTGTACATTTCAAAGGTGGAATTCTGCTGATGCGCTTCTGCCCCGTCCCACAGAGCTGGGGGAAACCGGCTTTTAAGCTGGCTTCCCCCAGCACTCTCTTGATGCCTCTTTCTTATACAGGCAGCAAGGAGGGAAGTGACTAGTTGACCAGTGTGTCCATTATCCAATAAGCTTTTGCTTATCAGACAGTCAACTAGTCGCTTACATTCCTACTACTGACATATTGATTTAAAGTACACTGTAGTACCAACAATGCAGGAATCTCACACCTTGCTAGGAAATTGACCAAAATGGACCATGAACTTGGTAGGGCCCTTATAAGGTAGGATGAACTAAAATTAAAGGCTGCAAATACAGAATTACAATTGTGATGGTACAGTCTTTAATCACATTATTTTTAACACAAGACTAGCGTCTCCCTTCAATGCACAGGATCTACTCTCAGGATCAGTCATCTGAACAGTAAAGGAGGCTGCTATCTGAAACCTGTGTCTCATTTATTGCAGAAGTTGGAAGTTATACAGTGAATGAAGCAGAAGACAGCAGGATGACACAGGTGATAAGGCTCTTAAATGCTACCCTAAAAAACTGGTCTATAACCATGTCTCTATCAAAGAGTTCCCATCTGATTCTAGTCAAGCATGATGCACCAAACTTTTCATAGGTGACCACTTAAATGTGAACTCTAAATTTTATGTTTGCCTAGCCTAATAACCTGTGATTTGATCTGCAGCAGTGCTGAGTAATCACAACTACATCTGACATGAAAAGGAGCTGTACTTCAAAAACATGAAGTACTATGTAATATTAAGTACGCTAAAAGGTCAGATAAGTCCAAGGTACCTCATCATCTGAATGTATCTAAAATTAGCAGAAAAGCTTAATCTGTGCCTCAGTTTCCCACATGGAAGATAATATTTCATTTCACAAGGTGCTGAAAAGATAAATTAATGTTTGAGAAGCAGTCAGATATATTGATGAATGCCATAAAACAGCTCATGAGATGAATGACTAATTCTGGCTTCATAGCAGGATTTGAATAGCATGCAGTAAATAAAGCATGAAGCTACACACTAAATGTTCAGAACACAATATTTAATACCCTCTCATTAAGTGATCATTGTCCATTCTGTATGATGAATGAAGCAGAGGTCCTATGGAAAAATAGTATGTTGACGTGGAATAAAGACGATCATAATGCACAAGAGGGTTTGTTGCACAAACAGCCTTAATTTAACAGTTCCCAGCATTTGAGGACTTAAATTTTGCAAACTTAATGTTCTTTTAATATACTTTGGGTTTGGGTGTTTTTTGTGGGGGAAATGTGTGTGTATAATGTTCTAGGTTTTATAACCTACTGAGGGGAGGACAGCCCTGCCAAGAACCACATCCTCCCCAGCTTGCTGAGCCAGAGCATAATGGCTGCCAAAGGTATGGATTGAAGACCATGTCCAAAATAGGTACCTGACCCAGAAAGGCCATAGAGGAGGCCTGTGCCCTAGTGGAGTGGGCTGTGAGAGGAGGGGCTAGGACTCCAGCCAGATTATAGCACTCCCCGATGCAGGTTATCCATGAAGAAATTCTCTGGGAAGAGACCAGCTGGCCCTAGAGCCTCTTCACAATTGCCACTCATGAAAAGGCTCTCTCCTGTCCAAATAAAAAGCCAATGCCCTCCTAACATCTAGAGCATATAAAGCCTATTCTTTACCAGAAGTGTGGGGTTTGGGGTCAAAAACTGGGAGAAAAATGTGCTGGGAGACATGAAACTGAGACACCACTTTTGACAGGGAGGTGGGATGGGGCGTATAGCCTGACCTTATCCTTGAAAAAGACTGAGTAGGGGGGGTCTGAGGTAAGGGCCTGTAACTCTGACACCCGTCTGGTCGACATAATAGTTGCAAGAAATGACACCTGCCAAGACAGGAGTATTAACAAACACATTGCCATAGGCTTGAAGGGGGGCCCTGTGAGCCTGGTCAGGATCAAGTTAAGGCCCCACTGAGGAACAGATTGATGGACATGTGGGTAAAACCTGTCTAGCCCCTTCAGAAACTGATTGACCTGAGATGAGCAAAGAGCAATGTGCCCCGAGAGCCCGGGTGAAAAGCGGA